GAGAGGGGGAGGGAGGGAGGGAGAGAGGGAGGGAGGGAGAGAGAGAGAGAGGGAGAGGGAAACATCCATGTATCAACATCAACTGGCTTCCTCCTCCATGCCCCCTGCTGGGGACCGAGCCTGCAACGGGAGCATGTGCCCTGACTGGGAATCAAATCAGTGACCTCTTGGTGCATTGGTGGACGCTTAACCACTGAGCCACATTGGTCGGGCCATAACGTCTTACAAGAAGGCCTCTCACGAGTATATCAATTAGAATTATATTATAATTTTTAATCTTATGCTATTAAATTATACAAGGAATCAAAAAATACTTAATAGTTTTATGAAATACTTTTTACCTTGGAATTCTTTTTCTTTTATGAATACAGTTACTGTTACTAACTTTCCCACCTTCCAACCACTAATGGTGATTCAGGAAAAACAGTCTGGGTTTTGCATATAGTTCAAAAGCCATACATATATGATATTTTAACTCCCGATGGCTAAAAGATGACATAGTTTGAGATGTGGATGTTTTAATTTGCCTGAATTTAAACAGAAGCAACTCATGGTAGGATGACATATGTTGTTAAACTTATTCCTATCATTAGAAAATTGATTTTACTTCTAATTAAAAAAAATTTACTCTGGCAAACTGAAGTTTAAAACTATCCATATCAATAATACATAATCATTTCTCTAAGTATATACTAGCTTTCCCTTTGTTTGGGAAGAAGCATCATTTGAGGTTATTTTTTTTCCAATTTAGGAAAGAAATTAAAGTAAAATATTAAATATGACTATACCTAAACAGTGATGCTAATAATTTAGTTTTTGTACTGATACGTGGAGAACAAATACTTCAACATTTATTATCACCATGATTGTAACTTAAATCCAGCTCCTTTGGTGAAATGTTTTCCATTTCCATTTCAGTACTAGTTTCATATCTTTGAACGTCACTGAGCGATAGTCACTGATGTGATTTACCAATAAACTGATTAGTGACTGGATGAGTTTTTACATTACCTCCTTTACAATTAGCAAGTTCATAGAATAAATAAAAGAACAAAAGCAAAACCCCAGTCTTTAACACTTAAATAGTACATTTCCCTCTGACTTACCTGAAAATATAAAAATATAAATGCCCATGTACGGAGCTAAACCATTAAATTTACTTGAGTGGTCCTGCTTTTTCATTAAATTTATACTTATTAAATTTGAAAAAATTAGAAAATTATCAGTTTGAAATTAGAAGAGCTAAAACATGGGACAACAAACTAAAAAAAAAAAATCCAAGTGGCTAAAAATAACTCAGTTATAAAAGTACAAGTATAATTTATAATATCACATATCTCAGAAAAATAAACGAAACCACTAACTATCTTTTCCTCCAGATAATACTGTTTTCTCCCCATAAAGGAAAAAAAAGGAACTAGTAATTTGAGATTAAAATCAAACATAACTGTTATTCATCCGAGCAACATCTAAATAAATGATCTGCATAGCACAAAACTTTTCCATTCACTATCACATACAGTTAAATTACTTTTCCCTCAGGTACATAATAGTTTTCTTAAAACAATCTCCCTTTAAAAAAGTACTGTATTAGTTAAACCCATTCATTCTTGCTATGAGGTTAATTTCATTTATATAGGCCACACAAGTTTAATTGGCACACACTTATGAATGAGACAAAATAAGTCATTTTTCTTTTTAAAAATTATGGGATCAATTGTTTTCAAGAATAATCCCAGATACTTAATTCATTAAAGCAATTTTCTACCATCAGCAATCAAGCTTTTTAAATGATCACTAAGTGTTCACCCAAAGATTATCAATGCTATGTGAACTGTAAACTTGTTTTGAAGATTTCTGTCTATTTTATAATATGATACATTTGTACTAAGGGGTTTTAAAAAAGATAACCTACATACACACAGTTAATTTTCCTCAAAGAACTTCTTAGAAATACAGTATAAACATTTAAGAACCACAACAGAGTCCACTGTGGTTCAAACTTCAAAGATTTTCTTGAAACCCACTACAAATACTGGCTCAAGACCATATCCCAAAGTGACACCAGCACAAGATTTGATTGTAAGACTATACCTCTTAAAAAAAGAGCACACTTGGTTATACATGGCTTTTAACCTTGAGCTACAGTTATGCTACAAATCCCCCCACCCTCCCAATCTAAAGTCGGTCATGTGGAGATGTGTACATTCTCTGAGCACTGGTTAGAGTCCTTGGTTTTCCAGCTCTGATGGAGATCTCGAAGACGTTCAGAAGTCCGTGTGCTTACATTCAGGGCGGGATGAACTTTACAAATTCCACTTTCCTCCATTAGTGACAGGCCACAAATCCCAAAGTATGCATGCAAAGCATCTGAAAATGAGGCATTTTGTCACAATAGGCACTCTGATTTGTACATTACAAAATACTTTAGCTACATATCTACGAGCCCATCACTACATTAAAAATAAGTTTAGAAAAATTCTAAATATAGTTTTAAAAATATTGGCTTTCATAAAGTCTCAAAGATCAATTTTTTTAAAAACCAGATGATCAAAATCAGATATTTTATTCAAGATAATAATATTCACAAAGGAAAACAGTTCCTGTTGAAGAAGTGACATTTCCAACATCCTCAGTGATTAAAGGACAAAAAGGAAGAGTAGCAGTAATATAAAAAAAGACTTTTCACTATAGTGGATTTCTCCTTTCACTTACTACAAAAATATGGAAACAAGGGGCTTTAACTTATCATAACAGGAAAATATTTTCTTAAAAAGTACAATGAACAAACCTCTGAATCTAGGGAGCAGTACCCTTCCCCTCCAAGTTTTACTTCCGATAGTACCTAAACCATAGATTATCCTAACACTGTGTTGAAAGAAAAGGCACTTAAGCAAAATAATGCATTCTGGAATGCTGTACCATATTTAATTTTCCAATTTAGGGTACTGTCAGTCATTCTAAAAATATCTGACCTGAAAATAAAAACAAGCTTACATTCTACTTGGCTATAATCATGTGAGTGTTCATACCATAACAATTCTTCTACACTGTCCTCACTAGTTTCCCATCTTTCAGGGGTCAGCAACCCTCTTCCACTAAAGTGGCCACTGAAATCACAAGGCTGCTGCCTGCCCGAGAGCCTTATATGGACTTCCAAAAAGCTCAGACTTCTGCAGTTACGGGAACACTACAAAAAAGATTTTGTAGCAGTAAAAATTTTTTTCTATTTTTGATTTGGCCATCATTTATGACCTCAAGAGTTATTAAAGTCCAAAACATCTTACCAAGTAAAACTTTGTCAAAAGAATTAAAGAAAAAGTTTTACTTACACGAGTATCATTTACTTTTCATAACAGAATGACAAATAGTTGTGTGTACTCAATGTTACTTGTGAAAAAGTTACTTCACTAATGGAGGCCCATGTTAATCCCCTTTTGTCTTTTCAGAGAATGCTTGGGTTTCTTCTGGCTCATTTTCCTCTAATTTTCAAACCACAAAAATTTTTGATTTTCCCTGTACTATTATATGTTCCTTGCAGTTACTCTAAAATTATAAAAGACACAGAGCAACATTAAATTTTATTATCTAAAAACAAGAAAACTTTTCCAGAAAAATATGGAATAGAAAGAGAAATAAAATACACCCAGAATAACATAAAATAGGGCCTTACACTTTCCAGTTAATGTAAAAATAAACTTATTTTTTTCTCAAAAGGATTTTTGTAAAATCCAGTGAACCAGTTAATTGTTTCAAGCCTCAAATAGTTAAAAAAACAACACTTCTTATCTGTAAGTGGTAATGTATTCAAGCACTTTAGATGCTGAATACATATAAAACCATTCTTTTCTCAAGTACCCCCTACTAATGTATATAAAATCTCTTTGTGCCAAATCTGCTACTAGATTTATTCGAACCAAGCATAAGATAATTTTAAAGACTTGTTTAAATGACTTTTATAAAGGCTCTAGGAACAGGTTTCAGGTCTATCCACATAAGTTCAACTTATCATACAAAGACTTTCTATGATCTGTAGTGTACAGGCTCTGAAGACATTGTAACATATCTGTAAAAAGTATTACATCCAAGTATTCACACAAATGTTGAAGTTAGAAACTGATCTCGCAAGAAAAAAGCTTCAAGAATTTTCGTTTTAAAAAGCTATTGTAAATACTCAAAATGTATTTCAAGTATACAAGAAATGCTTTCTAAGAGACTGTCATTATTTGTTAAAATAGCACCATGCACTGACTGAAAAAAATGACATCAAGACCAAAATAATTTTCTTGAGTTCCTTTTCTAACATATCTCTGGCTATGTGTTATAGAAACCAAAACTTTTAAAATATTATTTTGCTTTAGAATTAAGAACATTGTACATTTTTTTTCTAAAGAAGAATATTTTGCATGAAAATACAAGTATGGATGTGAAGAAATATTCCTGTTCATTTCAGGTACAAAATATGATTTCATGAGACCCTTATTTATTTAATTCAAGTACATATTCTGACCATAGCAGTTCAATGATAGGATATGAACTGAAGAGGTTCTAGGCTAATAATAAAAACTATGATTCTATAGTAATGCTGCAAAAACAATCATTCTTTGAATCTAGTTTCATATTATTTATAGCTAATAATTTGTCAACTTGCTTATCAAAAGTGTCAGTGTTCTGAGTTCTTTTTAAAGAACTATCAAAGTGAGTTTTTGGAAGTTATAAATAGATTCATTTTGCTGGAGTTAAAAACATAATGCGGAGGGGCCAGTAGCATGAAGAATGATGCTAGAGGTGGGAGAGGAGCCAAATCCCAGGAGGGCCTTGTGTGCCATGCCAAAGAAATGACTATGAGTGCTGAGAAAGTCTTTGAATTTTTAAAATAGATTTAATAGAAGAGTTTAGATTCGAGGTTCTCAACCTTTTTTTACATCAGAGATCCCTTTGAGAGTCTGAAAAAAGCTTTGATCCCCTCTCCATGTGTGTACATACACACATGCGAAGTGTCAATGAGGGGGACTAGGCTAGAGGCAGGATGACTAATGATAAGACTTCTGCAGAATCCTAGGCATGAACTTGGGTCTAGTGCCACTAAAGTTTTGGGGTCAGATGGAGCATAGAGATAATGAGTTCAGCTGGCAGAAGTCTGAAGGGCCTGTAGATGGCATCCGTGTAGTTACTGAGCAAACAGTTTTATATTAAAAGTATAAAGCTTGTAATAAGGTTTGGAAAATATCAGAAATATACACATATTTTGAAGAAATGCCATTATTAGCATAGATTTTTCAATATTTTGGAAAAAAACATTTAAAAGTGCTTATGAAACACAAGAATCCTTTGCCCTTCACATCTATACCCATTCCTGAGTTTGGAAAGCATGGAATATCATATTGTTTGAATTTATTTGGTTCCTAGTTTTAGATAGTGAATGGTGCGAGTTCACATAGTAATGTATTCAGCTAAAAGAATAACCAGAATCTGCCAAAATTCAGAGAACAAAAGTCTAAACAGTGAGGGACACACCTGTATTCAAGACTTGAGATTTCTGATATAATAATTTCTGAAAAGAGCAAAAACGGGTTCCTCCTTTTGGATTAAGAGCAATTTTTTCTATGTAGCTCAAGTGATAGCTAACAATCCTGAAGATTTTGGATGGATCAAATGATTCTCTAATTTGGACAGGGCTTATTTAGACTATCTGATGCCTTATTGCCTCAAATGAAATAAAACATTGCTAAGTAAAATATTTAGAAAATGCAAACAATACCAATACATCTTAATAATCAAACCCTTCCTTTATAACCCCAGCACCCTAAGTCTACCCTAAACTTAAACAATTTACCTTTTAAAAAACATTATTTTTAAGTTTACAACTACAGTTAAGTTTTCTATATGCCCTTTCTGACAAAGATGCTTGAAGGTTTAGTCAAGAAATAAACAAAAGAAGAGTTTTGGATTCATACAAAAAATAAATTACCTGGATGACTATCTGGCCACTTGGCAAATCCCCCTACAAGGCGATCTTGCGTTGACAAGATGTAATTTCTATTTTTCTCAAAGTTAGTGTACTGGAAAATTTTCAAAAGCTGAAATGACATGACAAATATAAATTTACTGACATAAAACTTTCATATCAACCATGGGCTCAATTTTCAGATATATATCATTTAAATATGCTTTTCTCTAGCTAAGACTCTCAGAGCAAACCTCTGGGGAGTTGAGCACTTAAAAGCAGTCAACCACATGATCTTGTTTATTATTGTATCAAATCTACTCTCCTGATTTCTTGGCCCACTCACTGTATCCTTCTTTTGAACCATGCCCACAACCCCTTTTCATCACAACTTCCCCAATCTGTTCAACTTCTTCAGTCACTGAAAAAACTACAATTTTGTCTACCTATATTTTAACTCTTATGATAAGCTTTCGAGCTATTTAAGTTACAAACTGGTAGTAGCTAGAACTAAAAATATTTCATAAAAGAGCAACAAAAATTATTAACCAGATGCTAGAGACAGCTTTGTTTGAGAATAGTAAAAAAAATTATAGCTCTTTAATTAGGAAAGATAAAAGATGAGACAAATATGATTTTAGCATAAAAGTTATATAGCTTAAAGACTGAGGACATGTACTATTTGTTCTCTCTTAAGATCCCATTAAATAGAAAAAAATAAAGAATAAATCAAAGTGTAAAGAGAAGGGGTGGTAAGCAGTACGCAAGAGAGTTCAAGAAATTTCTGTAAGACACAAAGCATTTGAAAGTGTGTTAATGACTCAGAGAGGCACAGAAGATATCAGTGATTAACGAAAAAGCACTATTTCTCAAAAATAAAAACAAAACCAATAAAAAAATGTTATGATACAAATAAAAAACAAACATATTCATTTTGATTTAATTAACAGAATACAAGGAGAGAATCTTTAGAGTTTTGATGCTGGAAACATTTTCTATCAAGTGGCACATAGATCATTACATAAAAAGAAATTATAATCTTAACACTATACTTGGTTCAGCAAAAAACAATATTTATGTAATCATAATAAGTGATTATTGGTTTTTAAATTTTAGAATCAACCTACAGGTGAAGCATAAAGTATTTTATTGTTTCTGTACAAAATGTGAATGTTATCAAATTTGACATTATAAAAGTAAAGGTAAACTGGCCAAATCAGAAGATAGAAGAGGAGAAAAGGTTCAGAACTAAAAAAGAAAAACAAATACACATACATACAAAACTAGTAAAAACTTGCTGAAAAAAAGGAGGCTAAATTTTCATTTTTCATAACTGGGAATTAAAGACAATGTGTAATGGTGATGAGTCAAGAAATCAGCATATTATTTAAAGTTATCCACAAGAATTAAAGTTTTAAAAACTGAAAGTGGTTGAGTTTAGAAAGCTGTCGAAGACTACCAAGGTCATAACAGAACAACCCCAAAGTCAACTTGAAGGGCCTTTACTGGCTAAATATGGGACAATTTGAACATTAAAAAGAACAATGTAATGGATTAAAACATACAAAATATGTTAAAGTTTATGAGTGAACGATGATACTGAAAAGGAAAAAAAGCCTAAAACCTAATTATTTTATTGGGAAACTTTAGGGGATGCTAAGGAACCAAACTCACTGTACTGAATGAATATTATTAAAATTATGAGAAAGAATTAAGTATTTACCTGCCTTTTTCTGCACCAACTATACTTTAGGGTAAATTAATTCGTCTTTATAAAATAATCCTAGTTAATAAATTTAAAAGAAATCATAGAATATTACCATTTTGCAACTCCCAATGACAATGGATTTAAGCAATGATTTTCAATGACTGCTAAAACCTTTCTTTAAAAAGTGATAAGGTTTATACACACCAGCAACAAATAATCCAAAAGAAAATTAAGAAAGCAATTCCATTTACAATGGCATCTAAAAGAATTAAAAATTTAGAACAAAGATGTCCCATGCTCATGGACAGAAAGACAGCAATGTTAAGAAGTCAATACTATACAAAGCAAAGTATAGATTTGAAGCAATCTCTATCAAAATTTCAACAGCCAGTGTGGCTCAGTTGGTTGGAGCCTGGTCTTGTGCATCAAAAAGTTTGCTGATTCGATCCCTGATGGGGGTGCATATGGGAGGCAAATCTGTATTTCTCTCATACATTGATGTTTCTCTCCCCACCCCCCCATCTCTCTCTGAAATCTGTAAAACATATCCTCTAGTGAGGATTAAAAAAAAAAAGTCAACAGCCTTTTTTATAAGAAATGGGAAAGCCAAGCCTCAAATTCATATGATATTGCAAGGAGCCCCAAATAATCAAAACAGTCTTAAAAAAAATAAAGTTAGAAGACTCATATTTCCTCACTTGAAACTTACTACAATTAAAACAGTATGGTACTGGCATAGGGACAATACACATGGACCAATGGAATAGAACAGAGAGCCTAAAAACAAACCCTCACATATATGGTTAGCTGATTTTCAACAATGGTATCAAGATCATTTAATGGGAGGAAAACAGTCTTTTCAACAAATGGCACTGAGAAAGCTGAATATCCACATGCGAAAGAATGAAGGTGGATCCTTACTTTATATCATATACAAAAATTTACCCCAAATAGATCTAAAACTTAAACCCAAGAGCTAAAACTATAACTGTATTGTACTGTAGGGACTTTAACATTCTACTGACTTTACTGGATGAATCTTCCAGACAAAAAGTCAACCAGGAAATAGTGACTCTAAATGACATGCTAGATCAGATGGATTTAATTGATATTTATAGAACATTTCACCCCAAAGATGCAGAATATACATTCTTTTCAAGTGCACATGGGACACTCTCAAAGACAGACCATGTGTTAGGACACAAAACAAGTCTCTACAAGTTCAAGAAGACTGAAATCATATCAAGCATCTTCTCGGACATTTACACCATGGAATACTATGCAGCTGTAAAAAAAAAGAATCCTTTACCCTTTGAGACAGCATGGTGGGACCTGGAGAGTATTATGCTAAGTGAAATAAACCAGTCAGAGAAAGACAAGTATCACATGATCTTATTCATATGAGGAATCTAATGAACAAAATAAACTGACAAACAAAATAGATCCAAAGACAAAGAAGCATGCAACAGACTGACAAATCTCAGAGGGGAGGCAGGGGTAGATGGGGAGAGATTAACCTAAGAAATTATATGCATATATGCATAACCCATGGACACAGACAATAGTGTGGTGAAGGCTGGGGTGAATACAGGGTGGAGGGGATCAACGGGGGGAAAAGGGAGACATCTGTAATACTTTCAACAATAAAGATAAATTAAAACATAAAAAAAGGAGCTAAAACTATAAAACTGTTAGAAGAAAATTTGGGGATTAAGCTGCATGACATTGTATTTGGCAATGATTTCATGGATATGACAACCAAAAGCACAGATAAGACCAAAAAAAAAAAGGTAAATTGGACTTCATCAAATTAAAAAACTTTTACGTAGCCAAGGACATTATCAACAGAGTGAAAAGGCAACCAGGAAATGGGAGAAAATATTTGCAAGTCATTTATCATGATAAGGGATCAATATCTACAATACATGAAGAATTTGTACAACCCAACAGCAAGAAAACAAACAACCTGATTTAAAAATGTGCAAAAGACTTGAGTAGATATTTCTCCAAAGAAGATACACAGATGGCCAACAAACACATCAAAAGATGCTCGACATCACTATTCATTAGGGAAATGCAAATCAAAACCACAAGATAACACTTCACACCCATTAGGATGGCTATTATTAAAAAAACAACGACGACAGAAAAAACAAGTGTTCATGAGATTGTAAAGAAACTGGTACCCTCATACATTGCTAGTGAGAATGTCAAATGGTGCAGCTGCTATGGAAAAGTCTGGTGGCTCCTCAAAAAGCTAAACATAAAACTACCATATGATCTAGCAATTCCACTCCTAGGTAAATATCCAGAAGAAATGAAAGCAGGAACTTGAACAGACATTTGTATCTAAATGTACCTTTTTAAAAAAATTTAGTTTTGATATAAATGTTGTTCCAGATGTACAACATAGTGATTAGGCATTTATATACCTTACAAAATGATCACACTTGTAAGTCTAGTATCCATCTAACACCATCCACAGTTATTACAATATTATTGACTATATAGCCACCTTAACAATAGCCAAAATGTACAAATGACCCAAATATCTATCAACAGACAGATGGGTACACAAAATACGGTATTTACATAAAATAAATATTTATTACTCAGCCATAAAAAGGAATGAAATTTTGACATATGATACAACATGGATGGGCTCTGAGAACATTATACTAAGTGAAATAAGCCAGACACAGAAAAACACAAGTCATTTCACTTATAAGACACATCTAGAATACGCAAATTCATAGAGACAGAAAGTACAACTGAGGTTGGAGGGAGGAAAGAATGGTGATGTAATGAGAGTTATCATTTGATTAGTACAGAGTTTACGTTGAGGATGATGAAAAATTTTTGGGCATAGACAGTGGTAATGGGTTACACAACATTGTGAATGTAATTAACACCAATGAATTGTACACTTACAAATAGTTAAACTGATAAGTATTACATTATGTAGATTTGACCATCATACAAAAAAGAAAAAAAAAGCTAATGGGGAACTTTATAATGGATAAATCAGGTCTGACAACTCTGGAGACCTTTGCATAAAAGGAGAGACCACCAGAGATGATGCGCCTCCTTCAAGTGATCCACTAGGAAACATATACCATCAATGACTGGCTATTAAAAGAAATTATGGTTGATTTGTAGATGTGATAATAATACTACAGTTCTGTTTTTCAGAAACGATATTTTTGTTTAACAAGTACACTGAAAAATTTTCAAATAATTTAAAACTGGTATCTGGGATTTACCTTAAAATAATACAGGAAGGGGAAAAGTAGTGGGTAGTAAGTAGTATGGATAAAGAAAAGCTGGCTTTGGGATGAAAACTGCTGAGACTGCCTGATGGACGTAGAGGGATTCATTATATACTATTCCCTCTACTTTTGAGCATGTTGAAATTTTCCATAATTAAAAAAATCAAAAATGGTGTGGGAGAGAGGGAGGCGGCTCTTGCCTTCATTTTAAATCATTCTGTTTTCCGAATTCATTTCAACCTTAGGTATGAATTTTTGTCTAAGAGGAAAAATTAGGAAATTACATAGAAGATGAACATAGACTTTTGCTAGATTCCAGAATATCACAACTAAGTGATACTTTTTAAAGGTGAAAGGCAATTTTAAAAACGAGAAAACCTGTAGGTATTTAGTGGCTAATACCCTTATGGAATTAGATATATCAAAATGTAGTAGAGATGGGGAAAATGTATGAACATACCAACCAATACATTTCTGAAAGTTTACATAAATAAATAAACAATAGAAAACCTTAAATGATTTTTAAAGAAAATGACTTATGGTTTGTCTTTTAAGATTAGTGTCTTCCCATGAAATCTTTACTGGTATGCTTAGACAGATCCCTGCTCTAGGTGGACTACTGGTCAGTTTCAGTAGCAAGTTTTTTTTATATCTACTTTCTTACCTGGGCCACTTGGATTTTATAAGAATGGAAATTTTCAAGTAGTACAACAGATAACTGAATTCTATCAAAAAACCATATAGACACTAGCTTTGCCAGAGCAACAGGAAAAACTTAGTAGCTTAAACTTAATAATATTCAATGAATAGTCATAGACCAAACCCTTTAAACACAGCTGGTATTAACAGAAAGTATACGTTTCTCATTTTTATTATTTCTCTTACCTTTAGAGTTGCTCCCACCCAAAAAGAATAACAGGTGTCTACAGGCTTATTCGGTCTTCCATGATAGCCATTTTGTTGCCTCATTATACACCATCTCTTTATCCTGTTCAATTCTTTTTCTGAAAAAACTTCTTCTAGTTTACCCATGAGACACAGCGATGCAATGCCACAAAAAGTTGATCCTCCTGTTAATCAAAACCACACAATTTGTTACACTTCAAAATAGATGAGTAGGAAAATAATATAAAATGGTTGGGGGAAAAAGGGGTTAAATAATTCTAGACAATAGGAAAATAAAAGTAGCTTAAATTTAAAAAACAATAATTTTAAATAACCACTGAACACTAAAGTCTTCAATACTAATCTGATGAAACAGAAAATAATTTAATATAATTTAAAGCTATAAAAAACATTTTACTTATGAAAACAAGTAAGGCTTAGGGAGACTAAAGAACTTGTTCAAAGTTATATGGTTAATGGCAGAGCTGAAACTAAAACGTAGGACAAACTACTATTCCCTTTCCAGGGCTCTACCACCTAAGTCTGATTTTAATTCCCTTAAAGACAGTGTATTACTTATGAATTGAGGTTCCACCTGCCTGAAGCTACAGGCTAATTTTCACATATAACATAAACAAGCTAGAAGATGGTATGCAGATGTGATTCCTAGGTGGTTTCTGAAATTTAAGAAAGGAAAGTTTGAGCGAGGATAAGAACGTGTGGGCAGGGGAGAAGAAAACTGTAGCTGGAAGTAGATACACAGTGAGCATCCACACTCACCCTGGTAGGCTGAATGATGCCCCCCAATGATATTCAGGTCCTAATCCCTAGAACGTGTGCATGTTACCTTACATGGCAAAAAGGTCTTTGCAAATGTGATTAAGTTCAGGATCTTGAAATGGGGAGATTATCCTGGATCACCTGGGTGGGCCCTAAATATAGCCACAAGTGTCCTCATAAGAGGGGAGCAGAGGGAGATTAAACTACAGAAAGAGGAACCAATGTGACTATAGAAACAGACTGGAGTGATGTGGCAATAAGTCAAAGAATGCTGGTAGCCACCAGAAGCTGCAAGAGGCAAAGGAACAGATTCTTCCCTGGAGCCTCCAGAAGTAACCAGCCCCCTGACATCTTGATTTTAGCCCTGTAAAATGCAGTTCAGACTTCTGGCCTCCAGAACTGTAAGAGAATACATTTGTGTTGTTTTACATCCCCAAGTTTGCAGTAAAATGTTATAGCAGCAATAGGAAACCAATATGCTTACAAAGGTAAGTACTTTCCTCAGGAAATGAAAACTCAGTACTTTTTCATAAAGAAAAGAAACAACACTTTTCACTGGGACTATTTGTTGTCAACTCCAAACAATTTTAAAACACTTGCATTTCTAATTTATTACAACTTCACTTAGTAATTTTTATTTCAGCTATTTAAATAGATGACAGTTCCTAATATTCCTTATCCTGTAACTTTCCTTTTGGTGACAAATCTTGAATGCATTCTCTGGAAAACTGAACATTTCCTGCAGAACATTTAAGGCAGCTATAACATCAAATGGATTACTGTAAGTAAAAACTATTTAATCTTTAGAATTTTTCCCAGTTAGCTAGGAGATCTATGTTAGTCATGAGTAAATTAAAACAGAAAAGTAAAAAAATTATCATAACCTTTTCGAGTAATTTATAGTAAGCAACTATCAATCTTATTTCCTCTTCAATAACCTGCTAGTTTCAATTTTTCTTTCATGAAAATCTGGCCATGACTTCAGGTATTATATCATTAAACTTAAAGCTTCTAATAGTAATGAAACATTTAATTGCTACTATCTAAATTACTTGTTAGGATTCTTTAAAGCAAACCAGCACAATTCAAAGTAAAAATACTTTTTACTTTGCCCAAATCACCAAATTTTGAAAATATTAATTCCTGAAATTTGGGCTCTGAGTAGTCAAAAACAGTAATTACAAAGTCTATACTTTAAATTAAAATTCATTTACCAAAATTTACTCCTAAAAGGTTCTTGTTTCACATAAAATTCTAAAAAAAAATTAATTAGTTTCAAAAACCTGGATTAAAAGCAGTATGTTAGACATAAAAACAGCAAGAAACACAGTAACATCTTAACAATAAGTAAATTAAGAAATATTATAAAATAGCAGGCATAAGAACTCAAATAGAATATCCTCTGGGGGGGCTAAATAGGATTAGATCAACAATTCCTACAAGTTTCAAAAAACTTCAAGAATATTACATTATTATATTCAAGTATAATACAAGAACTGCTTCTCATAGTGATGATCTGAATTTATCAAGAAAAGGTTAAACTGTGTTCATTATGCCTAGGTTGTAGATGAAAATAACCTTCCTTATCAGAGGTATATAAAAGGAAAACTATTAACGCACATACAAATAAGAGAAAGATTTCCACCTGAAATTGCTAAAAGTTTGCCACCTAAAGTGATATGCTTCAGTTATATGAATAATTAATGGAAGCACAATATCTCAGTAATAAAATATCACAGGAAGGGACCATAGAGGTTCTCTTTTAATAGCCTTCTTCAGTTCTTCCAGGTGCACACTAATGGTGTTCCTGACTCGAGTTTTTCATGCTATAATTTATTTATATTTTAAAAGTGTAACAGTTATAAGTTAACTTATTGTTCCCATAAGGTTTTACAGCTCAATCCTAAGCATTCTCTTAGTATTTATTTGTATATATCAAATTATCTGAAAGAATCCATGTGCTCTGAAATGTGTAATTTAAGATGGTCAACTAAGACATAGCTAGAGGTAAAGTAGAAAGCTAACTACTTTCGTTACATAAATAAGTACACCATTTTACATTTCAATATCACACAAAAAGGGTTAAGTGAGGTAAATTCAAAGAAGTTGAATGCTTAGATGAAATTAGGCCAAAGAGAGTTTATTACTTTTCTTTTCAATTAAAACTAGGTATTTTAAAAGAATCATAGAATCAAATTATCTAACTTTTACGTTTATATTATGCATCCTGAGAAAAAATAGTTTTAATCCTAGCAAAGCAGGTAAATCCAATTCTTCCCAAACACATGAACTGTACTATCATAAGAGAATCACTAGGATAAATCGAATCATCACATGATCATGGCCTAGAATGATATAACGTGCCTGTTTAGCTTTCGTGATAAGTGGGCTCCATGCTAAGCAGTAGTTTGAGAAGATCAGATGAATTAAAAAAACAAAACAAAACAAAAAACAATGTATTAAATAACATTTAGACTGCAGAATTAGGAAGAAAAGCACATTAAGAAACTTGATTATTACCAAACTGTAGCAGAAGTACATTATCACAAATTCAGCCTTTTCAGCTTTGAAATGCAGAGTGCAATGCAGGATAACCAATTCATTAAATATTTACTGAACAACTACAACATACAAGGGCATATGGATAAGACATGAACAAGACACAAGTTACAACTTAGCAGAGAAGATCAAGTAAACCAAGCTAAGTACCATAAAAATGGTATGAACCAAGTATTACAGAAATATAGAAAAAGGAGATACTGCTCAGGGCTTGGGAAGTGGGGGCGGGGGAAACAACAGATGATGAAAGATTTTCAGAAAATATGACGCTGGAACCCGGCACAGAAAGATGGGTAAAACTCTGAAGGTTAAGAAAAGGGAAACAAAAGGCAGGTGGAGGGGAAGCATCTCAGGCAAAAAAAAAAAAAGAGTACTAGCAAAATCCAGAGGTGAAGAGGCATGGAGGAACATTGGAGAACATATTCTCTCTACAGTCCATAATAAATTCTCGGTGTAAAATGGCAATAATTATTGCAGTGGTTTTGTACTGTAATAACTTGGCTATGCTAGAACTTCCAGTATGGCCTGAAGTTGGAAAAATCTATAAAATTGTAAGGTGGAAGTAAAGCAGCAGCCAACGCCCTGGCTATTTTCAGGGGCAATAAGAGACACAGGCAGAGGTGCTGGCAGATCCTGTTAATCTCCTTCCACATAGTTGGAATCCAAGTTTTTCTTACTACTTGCCCTTGTGACACCAGGCCCATAAATGGATGTAGAGCAATAGCCCTCCACAGACTCCTCCACCACAGTCACACTCTGGCAGCTGCATGTGTCTGGCTTTCCAGATTCCCCTGCAAGGTCTCACCTGTTCACCTGTGCCAGTGCTTCAGGAGAGCTTTTCAGTGACTTTCCCCCGATCAACCAATTACTCCTTTCAGACCCTGACTCCTCCTCCATCTTCTCCAATGCTGTAAAATCTTATTCCTGTACTAAATCCTTATTCTTTAATATTCATAGTGGTTTTGCTTCTCTGATTGAATCTAATACAAAGATGACCACTCTCAGAGGGCTGGTGTGAGGATTAAATGAGACTAAATGGTAGCTGGCACAGAGCAGCAGTTAATAAAAAAAATTCTCTTCCTTTTCGTCTGTAGATCAATCACCAAAACTGGTGACTTATGGGGGACAACTGGTGTGACTAGCAAATTTTTAAAAAAAGACAGAACAAGAGATTAAACACCCAAAATTCTGCATTTCTGGCTTCTCTGGTAGTAGTTCCACATTCCTGAATAACAAGGATAGGCACGGGAGGAAGACGAGGAGAGGAATGGTTTAAACACGAGCAGCTTGGGATGCTAAAGAGATAGCAAGGAGGAAAAGCCTGGCAGGCAGAGAGAAAGGGCTATGCAGCCCGGAAACAATAGCACATGTTTGGAAACATAGTTTGGATGCCATCAACACAGGGATGATTGATAAAGAACCATCTGTTGGTTCATTTGTCTGTGCGCCACATGTGTTACAGGGGTGGGGATACGACAGTGAATAGGACAGGCCCAAATCTCTGTTCTCATGAGTCTTACATTACATGAAGAGACAGTGAACAAACAGCTAAAATATAAGTGATATGGAGAAAAATAAAGCCAGAAAGGGGGACAGGGAACAGGGTTTGCATATGTGGTTGGTTTGCGATTCTAAATAGGGGGTATGTGGGTGGTTTGCAATTTTAAGTAGGGGGCTTATCCAAAAATATCACATGAACCAAGACCTAAAGGATGTGAAATAAAGCCAGGTGTATGCTAGGGTCGGGGGTGGAGGAGTCTATACAAAAAACAGCAAGTACAAGGGCCCCGAGATGTAGAAAGGTACACTGCCCAAAGATAAGAAGAAAGTGGAGCTGAGGTAAAGAGGTCAGAGGAAGAAACGAAAATGGTGAAGGAGCCAGAAACAACTGGTCAGGAAGCAGGACAAGAGGAATGTAGTATTTCAAAAAAGGAGAGGTTAATAGCTTCAAATGCTTCAGTAAAGAGAAGATAAGAAATGAGAAAGAGATGCTGGATTTGAAACAAATATCACTCAGAACTGTAAGAGAGAAACTTCCTAAGTCGCTGAAGGCTCATACAGAAAATTAAAGAATGAGCCATTTTTGTGGAAGGGCAAATGGTATATTTGGACCACTATTCTGAAGAGATTAACAAGAGAAACTCGCCCTCTAAGGAATAGGCCCATGCCTTTCTGTTCCCCTCTTTGTTCCCCCGGGAGTTACCTTTGCCTTTCTCTCTCCTAAGCTCCAGGGGCATGTCTTCTACTTCTATAAACTGTTTCCTGAGCCTTCGCTGCCCAGCTGTCTCACTTTTACTACACCTCTGTAACTTTTTTTTTTTTAATATATCTTTATTGATTTCAGAGAGAGGAAAGGAGACGGAGAGAGAGACAGAAACATCAATGATGAAAGAGTCATTGATCAAGCCCACAACCCGGGCATGTGCCCTGACCGGGAATCGAACCCTGATCGCCTGGACCCTAGGTCGACGCTCAACCGCTGAGCCACGCCCGGCCGGGCACCTCTGTAACTTTCTAAGTAAACCTTCTCTTATAATTTGAAAGAAAAAAAAAAGAACAATAGAAAGAAGAGAAGGGAATGTACAATGACTTCACAGGTGACCAAACTGCAGGACTACTATTTAGGAGGAGGTTTTACTTACCAGTAGAGGGACAAAATGAGACAGGGGAGGAAGGCTATACCAAAGTCCTCCAGAACAGTTCTTCTCAGCCTATCTAACCTCAGAGCACAAAAAGAACAAGAGTATCTGATATTCGTAGGACATACTGAGCTGTACTGAGGAGGGTGCTCTTGGCCAGAGGCCACCTTACCAGGGGCTCCAGACACCCAGGTCCTGCTTGGCTGCCCCAATGGCTGACAGAGCAATAGCTTGGCACACCTAGAAACCATTTGTGGTAAATCAATGTACTGCAGCACTCTGATTAGGAAGCCCTCCTCTAGGGCTTTAGGCCTCAAACCTACCATGTCAAATTTAGAGATATAAGAAGGACGTAAGCTTTTTGGCATGAATCACAGTCCATCACTGATGATCTTGATGGGTACAATCCTAGGCAAGTCATACTGACTCAAAATTACTACTTGTGTGACATAACAAGATTTTTTTTCCTGACAGGACCCCTCTCTGTTTCACATCCCATCCTACAGAAGGTAATCTCAATTTCTTGGGAACAACAGTGTCTGTCCCATAGGTCTCCTATACTGGTAAGGTGCCTCCTCAGCCAGAGTGCCCATTAACACCCTTTACAACAGTGAGCACCAGACCCTGTCTCAGAAATTCTTATAGATGCCAGATTTCCTCTTTGTGCAACTATAAGTATATCCTTCCTTACCAAGCAGTGATGACAAGTGACATAATTGCTATTGCCAGCTTGCCCCACTGCCAATCTCATATAAACTTAGGCACACACAAGAATTATGGTGTCCTAATTACCATATGGCCTTGGAGGAAAATCCAAGACAGTCTTCTATACAGTCCTTAGTGCTACACACTACAAAAACCTACATCGAAAGAGGGAGTAAAGATGTGAGAGAGTGAAAAGATACCTAATAGGACAAGGTTCCAGGGGAAATATAAGGATATGGGATCGAAGAATATATGTTAAATATATCTTTTTATATATGTTTTATAGTTTACAATCCACTTTACCTCGTATCTCTTATAATCCTAATAACAACCTTAAAATAAAAAGATACAATTATTTCTACTCTGTTGATGAGGAAGTCCTTAGAGATACTAAGTGAGGAGCCAAGATCACACAACTAGTGTCAGGGATGAGACCTGAAAACTGACTCTTTCTACTGTATCACACTGGCAGGGGGATGGACACAACAGGTGAGCACAAAAAAACCCTGCTGTGATGAAGAGGAAATAAGGAGTTCACTCAGAGAGACTGCTTGATTTGGCCTCTTTTTTTTTTTTTTTTTTTTAAAAAAGAAGCATGGAAGCTTATTCACTTGTGTGTGGAAATATTCAATTCAGGCTATTGATGTGCTGACAAACTAAGTTGACTATTATCTCTCTATTCTGGGTCTGCCAAAAGTGGGGGGAAATGTGAAGGAGAGATTTTATCAATGTATATACTGAACATACACTGAGGCAAAATGTTTTATGACTATGACTTAGGATAATTAGACTGATGAAGGTAAATAAAAAAATCTTTCCTTTCTTCACAAATTCACTGAATCATGTTTAACATTCGTGTTTAACATTCTAGCCTTTCAGCATTATGCCAAAGAAGAAAACTTGCTATTTTCTAACAATATCTTAAGAAATCATACTAAAATATTTTCATGCAGCTAACATTTGAGAAGATTACTAGAAAATATTGCATGAAAATTCTGGTCTGAATAATTTATAAATGATTACTGACCTAGAAGAGGTTCAAACTGGCACAACAGTGTCAAAAGAGAGAAGTAGGAAAGAAGATGGTCAGGCTGCACCAAGGGCTGAGACAAACTTCTGAGGTCCTCCAGGTTGAAGATACCATGATGTTATTTGAAGAAACAAAAGAAACTACAGGTTCATTTATTTTAAGATGCCTTACCATGAGATTCAAGTCCAGCTCCCTGTGCCAACCCATTGTCATAGGACTGAAAAAGAAAAATATTGTTTGGTTTAACAGGGAAATAATAATAAATAAGCTGTCATTATACTAATTTTTGTCTTTTGATCTAATTTTATTTCTCCTTTATATCTTCCAAAATATGCGTTCTTTTCCACAAAGAAGTAGATGCAGGCATTTTTTAGTACCTGCTCTTGTCTTATTCACCACACCAAATGACTAAATGCATACATTATGCACATTCTGAAAATACACTGTTCAAAGATGGCACCTCCATATTCAATTTCTGCCCAATAAAAAGACCCAACTCTTACCCTCTCCCACTTGCAAGAACATATGAGTTTAAGATTTTATAGTCAAAAAACATTATAAACACAAAACAAATCTATTCTGAGGCTTTTAGGTAGCTAGGATAATGGTGCCTGCCTAAAATTTAATCTCCCCATATCCTACAAAATCAAAACAATACAACTATATAAAAAGAAACCCTTAGCAAAGCTGGAAGACATGCTCAAGCTTCAAATTACCTGTCTATAGAAAAAGAAACATCAAATCTCAGCAAGTCCTCTCTCACACTCCTGACACTTTTGCAGAGAGCAAGGGCAATCTGAAAAATTGTTAGGAAGTGAGTGGAGGGGAGCTAGTGGCAGGTCTGAGATTGATCTAAACTCACTACCTGAAAGAGACAGTCCACCCTAAGTGTGAAACATAGGCAATCCTTGCTTTGCACAGTTCCAATATGTACAAACTTAAGGTGTCATGGCTTAAATAACATAATATGACTCAAATTTCAGTAACCACAGTGCATTAACTATGAGCAATTGCATAAAATACAAACTTGCTGCTAGCCCCTCAGTCCACAAATCACTACATAAATAACAGACATGCATCATGACAAGTGACTGATCACATCAACCTTTTCAAAATCTGTTAGTAATTTGTTACTGCATGTTATTCAGTTCATGCAGAGGCAGCAAGTGTGTGGTTTTCTCTTTCTCAGTGATAAAACTACATGACAATTTACAAAAAGGCATAATAGCCAAAAGATGTTATGACAGTGGCCACCAAAAATGAAACTGCAGTAAAGCAAAGCATTAACACTGGAAGTGAAACTGAGATCAAACATAGTTATAGAAAAAATAGCTGATCGTGGGAATGCTGACAGGGCTACAGTCAGAAGAACTAAGTAAAGGCAAAATATCTACATGTGTGAAGAAAGTGGTCATGTTGAAAAGAATGAAGATATTCTAGAAAAGTGGTGCTGGCAAAAAACTTCACATAAAAGGAGCTCTCAGAGATATACAACAATGAAAATGCAAAGGATAAAATGTTGGAAACTGATACAAACTTATAAAGAAAAATGGTCATTTACCAAGACAGAAAAGATGCTTGCTTCATATTGGAATTTATATGAGAAGAAGCAAAGCACTGTCCAAACTCCTCTTGATAAATTTTTTTTTTTTTACAAAGAAAACACTTTAATTCTCAATCTTGCTAATATTTTAAATTATAGTGTACTAAATAAATACTGGTTTATACATTTATAACTGACAGTAAAAGTTTTTACATTTTAAAAAAACCTGTTAAAGTCATAGAACAATTTTAATTTTTCCTACTGATGAGTAAGATCACTTTGTATCACCTCAGTTTGCATGATCGTTATAGTCTGACACTCCCACGCAAAGCAAGAACTGCCTGAACAGAAAGTTCTGGTAAAACTGGGCACTGGCTTCAGGGAAAGGAGTTAAGAGTATGCCAGTCGAGGTGGCAGTGTGCAAAGGAAAACTCAAAAGAGCAAAACTTAGAGGCCTGGGAAACAAGAAAACCTCTCTCCTACCAGAAAATCATAGAACTCACAACCCTTTCCCTATCACCAAAAAAATAAAAGCAGCAAGCTAGGCACTTCTTAAATACAGTATTTTGAATATATACCCTCAGGCTCTAAACAAAAAGCATTATTCTGGATAATGAAGCTCTGTTTGTCAGTGCCAGAGAAGGAAGTTACAAATGAAAAGAGGAAGATTAAAATGACCCTTGTGATACTGGATTGAAATCTGAGGTATTAGGATGGAATCCTGGTTTCTAATATATAGATAGATACAGAAATAGATATAGATGCATGTAAGGGGGTATCTGTGTATAGATGCATACATTTCTTAGCTCTGCCTTCTGAGAAAGGGGCTAGAAGTAATGATATCCCAACACCAATTAGTAAGCACATGCAGTGCCCCAATCCTGGTTTCTAAACATCACCCTCCAATGAGAAGAACCATGGCTTCTTGAAGAAATGACTCAGTCCAGAGCTGAGGCTGGAAGTGTAAAAGATGAACCTGGAAATGTCTTGTGACAGAAAGCAAGGAGATGCTCAAAGGATGAAGGGGCTATGTCAAAAGGAAAAGAGCCTGCTGAAGGCGTTCTCACTGGCCAAATCTGGGACAACCTGAGCATCAAAAGACATGATGAAAACAGATAATAACCTTGAATAAAACAAGAATCTAGAGTCCACAGTGAAATACAGATAGATAAATAGAGGCAAAGGAAAAGCTTTTGCTAACAGAATTTCAACTGATAATTACAGAATGAATGACAGAGCTAGAAAATCCTCAAATGCATACTAACACTAGTGGATAAAAGTTCGATGATGGACAGAGTAGTTACAGTCTCCAAATATCTCATAACTAGATACTGAATGATTACAAAGGGAAAAATACTAACATTACAGAGAAAAATTTGGCATACACTAACTTAACCAAGCACTCAAAATTAACATCACCAGTAAATAAGCAAATCAACATCTGTACCTCCAAATCCAATGCACCAAGAACAACACAGTATTTTTCTGTAGTATTCATGCCAAAATGCATATCACCCATCCTTTTATATAACATAAATCTCTTTTCCTTTTAAAACTCCTTTATAGGTTTGTTTTTCCTGCCTTCGCAGGCTTTTTAAAATTTGTGCTATTGCACCTTCTATAAACTGATTCACATGCACACATTAAGTTAAAAATAATTTCATTTCTTTAAGAACTTACATTTTCACTTTGAAATACTAATAAAAGTTGAATTAACAGTCTAAAATATTCTTATAAAATTAAAAATTTCATATTTGGAAAGTAATAAACCTGGGAAACAGCACTTCTATTTCTCCAGTTTTACATAGAGACTACAAAGTAGAGCAAAAGATAATTCTAGCTGAGACTAAGATTTCCTTACTGCTGTCGATAAAAAAAATTAAGTTGTGTTGTGTGAAAGAATAACATATCTACTTGATATTCTCATTAAAATAAACCTTAGATTAAAAAAAAATTACTAGGAAAACAAAAGTGACTAAAAGAATCTATTGTCAGCCCCGTTAATCTTGTTACACTTGGGTCTTGCAAGTCAAAATGGTTTACGGAACTCACACCTCATGTGTAATATAGGAATAATCTCACCAAGGATGCCATAATTTTCCATTATGCTTGGCCAAAGGTTCCCCACTGGTCCCTGCTCAGATAGACTATCAATACTTGTCTTTGAGATTTTACTGTTTTTTTCTGCTTCTAAGGCAGACCAATCTCTTTCTGAAAAAGACATTGTGTCTTTAGGTACAATCAGATCAGATGCTGGAAGTGATGAGGAATGCATTAAACTGAAGCTCCAATATACCAACAATAATAACATTTAAAAAAATCAATTTAGTCCTGGCCGGTGTGGTTCAGTTGGTTGAGTGTCATTCCATGCCCACGTTTGATTCCAGGTCAGGGCACATGCCTGGGTAGTGGGCTGGATTCCCAGTAGGGGGTGTGCAAGAGGCAGCCAAGAGAGGTTTCCTCCTCTCTATCTTCCATCTCTCTCTAAAATCAATAAAAAAGTATATATTTTTTAAAAATGTCAATTTAGCAACATAACTCACCATACTTCTCCTAATATAGTTGATGGCTTTTTTCATATCCATGCCAGACCAGTTGTTGAGCATATAGCAAATACAGGAAGCACAGTATACAAATCGCATGTCATTTTCACTGCCTTCGGGTACTGCACAAAAACTGAAAATAGCAGCAATATGATTTACTGTTAACACTGTACTATAATTTTTTAATTTTTTTGCAGAGGGGCTAGAAACACCTACTTCATGTCTTTACTCACAGAAAAATCTCACAAATATGGATTTAAAAGTCTAAGACTGGATTTAAAAACCATATACTACTTGCATTGTTCAATAAAGAAAAGGTCTCTTAACTTGAATAATACAAAACTATCTCTAAATTATTACTCCAAAGTTCTCATTTCTGGGTAGTTTTACATACTACCAGTTACTCCTCCCAGATGCCACCATTCAGAGTAAATTTGCTCTAAGCCAGAAACAGCTATGGCATATTGCCTTGAGAATTAATGGCAAAAAAAGTAGCAGGTAAAACCTGGGACCTACTGGGTAGTAAGAAATTCCCAAACCCAAGTTTTGTTATGCGGAGCTTCTTCTAACTAACTCTGTGTGTGTGTGTGTGTGTGTGTGTGTGTATACATACATATATATATAAAAGAATTAGTTGGTCATAGTGTTTTAACTTAATTTTTTACTTATTTAATTAGTTTTAGAGAGGTAATCGTCTGTCTCTCTTATCTATTCCTTTGTTTATAAATAAGGATGAGATAGCAGTAAACAAAGACTGTGCTGAAGTATTAAGAAATTAGTCACATGTACCTGCTGAGGTAAATATTTAGTACTACAGTATTTCCAATTAATGTCGATTTATATGTCGACATTAATTTTCACCTCATCAAGAGCAGTATTTTTAAAATACTGACAGAAAAATAGAGATAATAGTGGATGGGACACAGAAATAACAACATAGCAGGATTTGCTGGCAAAGTCTTTTCTTTGGACAGTATCACTACTGCTTTATCACCTGCTGGGCTTTAAAAAGTTTCATCTTAGCCATAGCTGGTTTGGCTCAGTGGTTAGAACGTTGGCCTGCAGATCGAAGGGTCCCCGGTTAGGTTCCAGCCAAGGGCATGTACCTCAGTTGCAGGCTCAATCCCCGGCCCCAACAGGGGCTCGTGTGGGAGACAAGCAATCTATATGTCTCTGTCACAACGATGCTTCTCTCTCTCTGTCTCTGCCCCACCCCCCGCCCCTCTGAAAAGCAATGGAAAAAATATCCTCGGGTGAGGATTAAACAAAAAAAGTTTCACCTTAAAACTGTAGGAAAATTTTCTTTAGTTAGACATACCACATGAACCATCAAATATTAATGAACTATTTAACTTCTTTTTATATCCTTTAAAAATATCAAGAAAACTACCCACACTAGAATGTAATACTCAATGCTCATCCCTTTCTCCTCCTATCACTATGTCTTTAGATATAAAAGTTTGGACTAATAATTTATGATAGCCTTGGCCAGGGTGGCTCAGTTGGTTGGAACATCATCTCATGCACCAAAAGGTCATTGGTTCCATTCCTGCTCAGGGTACATACCCAGGTTTCAGGTTCGATGCCGGGTCAGGCACGTGTGGAGACAACCAATTGATATTTCTCTCTCTCTCTCCCTTCCTCTCTAAGATAAATTTAAAAAAAAAGAACTTCGATAAACTCTGAAGTTCTAGTATAGTAGTATATTCATTTCTTTAGTTTCAAAAGACTTTTCTTAAAAAAATTTAAAAAGAAGAAGAAAGGATGACCCATACCTTCCATCTTCCAGCTGAAGGGCTCTCAAGCCTGCTAAGCAAGCTTCTTTATTTACTCGGCTTAGGTCGTCTCCAAGAATAACTAAACATGAAAGGCCCGTGTAGGTCATTGCTATGTGGCCACTGTCATAAGGATGAGCTGTTCCAGGATTCTGAATTCAAAATTAATATAACGTTAATTAGTAAAATGAAATAAAACGTTATTTCATTGAAAATTTTTAGTAAATAGGTAAAATTAAAACATTGTCTATACTAATTTGTATAGATATCTGATTGAGAAAAACAAACATCAACTTTATATACATTCATATATTGCGAATTTTTTCTTAGATTCCCTGCTAAAAGCAATGGGCACACATGGTTGAAGACACCTTGGCAAATTCATGACTGTGACATAAGCAAGGTGGTCTATAGCTTAAGGCAGAGGAAAAAAGTTAAAGCAGTGCCTCTACCAAATCACGACACCTTCTCCAAAATCACTGGTATTTATTCCAAAATTTTGAAGCAGATTATAGCAAAACTGGCAGCATGCCATTTACCTTCAAATTGCAACTGAATATAAACCTTGACCTTACTCAATGTAGCCAGATAGTAGCTTGTAACCATTACATAAGCAAACTGACTTCATCAAGGAAATAGTTTCTATTTTGTGAAACCTCTTTTGACAAAATGATGAAGCTTTTCCATGCTTTCTACTGTAGAAAAATATTGGTAGTCTTTGCACAGATGAAACATCTATAAAAGCTTGTTCTGGGTCTGCTTTGAAGAAAAAAGCTCCTCACTGTGTTAGGCCTCACTGCTTTCTACACCTGCATGTGCTGATACCAAAGCCTCTGGTTATAACCCTAAAGGTATTCTGCCTATTGCCACAAAGGCCAACAAATTTGTCACTACTTAGGTCTTTAATTACTGCCCTAGCAAGAGTTCTTTTATTACTAAGAAATGAGAACCAAATGTAAAGTCCTTCTCTAACACACACAAGTTTATGGGCTTCTTGAAAAACAAGTATCAAGCACTTGACTGCTTTATTTTCATTTTCTCCAAGAAATCACCAATAATTTACACACACACACAGGACAGTAAGAGAGACATAGTTTTTTGTGACAACAGGAATTTCTGTGTATATGTATTGTGCATTCTTCCAGGAATTAAGGTGGGTATAGCTTTCCCTTAAAGAGTTCAGTTCATAATATGCATTACTAGACACTATTTAGCTATACTGAAACCTGGAAGCTTGGTTCTTTCTTAGTATCCTTTCTCATGAAAATGTCCCCACCTCCCTTCTCCTTCCTCCTGACCCAAACAGAACTGACCTTTGATGGATTGAATGGAATACCCAGGTATGAAGAGCCTCGGAAACCACAGCGATTTAGATTTGATCCTACGAAATAAAAACATGGACTTAAAAGTATCCCTTACTTTTGCACAGGTGCTAAAGAAGTTCAATTACACAATCTTTCAGAGACAGTATTTTAGTACCAAAGCTTTGTCACTATCTCCAATTTTCATACAAGCTAATGTCGAATGCTTACTATGTGCCAGGTCTCTCCTAAGATGCTTTATGGAAATTTTCTCATTTAATTTCTAAACCAGTCAGAACAAAAAATAATGATTTTCTACCAAGTGCCTTTAGTTTACAACCCACCTCATTATGTACAAAATGCTTTCATACTTTTCCTATCTGACCATTTTTCATGTAATCAACATATTTCAATCCCTCATTCTACAGAACTGAAAGCAAAAACCCAGAAGTTAAGTGACACGTTCAAAGTAATTGTTGGTTAGTAACATAAAAGGATCTAGAATCCTAACTTCCCATCCAGTGTCTTTTTCCTTTAACCCACTGTTTCTTTACAGGGGAGGAAGCTAAAGGTATAAACTGATCTATAGTCAAAGAAAATATACATACTTTGTATTTTAGTATTATAGAAAGACCTCATTCTGAGTCCAATAACCCACTTTGCTTTGAGGTATATAGAACACTATAGGTCAGCACTTAGTTTCTACTCATTCAAAATGCTTACTCACATAAACTTTTTTTCTATCTAATATTTTTCATTTTTCAGGAAGTCAATGGACTATAACTGGGAACTTAAGAATATAGTTACATTCATGAAAAGGGAACTCTTGTGCACTGTTCGTGGGAATGTTAAGTGGTACAGCTACTATGGAAAACAGTATGGAGGTTCCTAAAAAATTTAAAAATAGAACTATCACATGATTCAGTAATCCCACTTCTGGATATATACCCAAAGAAAATGACATCACTACCTCAAAAGAGATATCTGTACTCTCATTTTCCCAGCAGCATTATTCACAATAACCAGGACAGGGAAACAACCTAAATACCCACCAACAGATGAATGGATAAAGAAAATGTGTCACACACACACACACACACACACACACACACACACACGCACACACGNAGAAAATGTGTCTCTCTCTCTCTCTCTCTCTCTCTCTCTCTCTCTCTCACACACACACACACACGCACGCACGCACGCACGCACGCGCGCGCGAATATTATTCAGCCATCAAAAAGGAAATCCTGCCTTTTATGACAATATGGTTGGGCCCTGAGGGCATTATGCTAAGTGAAATAAGTCAGAGTAAGACAAATATTGTTCTTTCTTATATGTGAAATATAAAAAAGATGAAATTGCCCTAGCTGGTTTGGCTCAGTGGTTAGAGCATCTGCCTGTGGATTAAAGGGTCCCAGGGTTGATTCCAGCCAAGGGCATGTACCTCAGTTGCTGGCTTGATCCCTAGCCCCGGTTGGGGCAACTGCAGGAGACAACCAATCAATGTCTCTCTCTGGCATCGATGTTTCTCTCTCTCTCTCTCCCTTCCACTCTCTCTGAAAAGCAATGAAAAAAATACTGAGTGAGGATTAGAAGAAAAAAAAAAAGCTGAAATCATAGAAATAGTTGATAGTGGTTTTCAGGGACTGGGGTGGGGGGAGGGGGAGAAGTGGGGAGATGTTGACCAAAGCATACACACTTATAAGACAAATTCTGGGAATCTAATGTACAGCATGGCAACTATAGTTAACAATACTGTACTGTATACTTGAAAGTTGTTAAAAGAGTAGGTCTTAAATGTTATTACCACACAGACACAAAAAGAGGTAATTATGTGAGGGGATAGAGGTGTTAACTAACCTTATGTGGTAATCATATTGTAACATATACATGTATCAAATCACCAGTTGTACTCCTTAAACTTACATGTTATATGTCAGTGATATCTCAATAAAGCTGGAATAAAGTAAATTTTTAAAAATAAAAAATAAAAAATGGTCACACCATGGTAAGAAAATAATTACGGTTTTGAGCATAATGGCTTGGGTTGCTGTGCTACATTTACACAATGGAATACTATGCAGCTGTAAAAAAGAAGGGACTCTTACCTCTTGAGACAGCATGGAGGGACGGGACCTCGAGAATATTATGCTAAGCGAAATAAGCCAGAGAAAGGAAAATATCACATGATCTCACTTATCTGTGGAATCTAATGAACGAAATAAATTGAAGAACAAAATAGGTCCAGAGACATGGAAGCATAGAACAGGCTGATGAATCTCAGAGGGAAAGGGGGAGGTGGGGCAGGAAAAGATTAACCAAAGAATTTATACGCATATATGCATAACCCATGGACCCAGACAATAGTGTGGTGAAGGCCTGCGGTGGGGAGGGAGCTGGGTGGAGAGGGGTAATGGGGGGAAAATGAGGGGCATCTGTAATACTCTCAATAAAAAAGATAATTTTTTAAAAAAATTATGGTTTTGATAGCTATTAGAAAATGAGCATGATAGATGTATTAGGTAGGAATGTAGTATGAACAAGCTAGACATGAGTAGCTAATAAAAAATGAAGTCGATTTAAAAATAGGCTCTGATCTGAGGAACTAGCTTCATATCTCTTACGACTGGTACATTACTAATTCATAATAACTGGTTTTTACTCTTCTATTCTTTAAATCAGGTACTGCTCTCTATTCAGCTTTATATTCCCTGAAATACATAGAATAGTAGCTTATATATTATTTTTTTGAACAATTTAGGAAACCTTAGCCACAAATTTAAAACTCTCCACCAAGCATCTTCCCCATTAACAAAAATTTTTTAAAAAATATTATCTCATGGTGACAATTGTGATGAAATGGTTCTCTTACCCTTGCTAACGACTTTTAAATTGGTAAGCATTCAAGACTTGCCAATATATAAGGACCCATAAAAATGCTCATAGCCTTTAACCCAGTAACAATACATCTGTGGATCTACTCTAGTAACCTGAAATATGAGAAAGACCAAGTGCACAGAAAGACTCGCTGCAGTATTATAATGGTGAAAATTTAGAATATATCTTTTAAAACTCTCATTGAAGTTTTACATTTTACTGCTTTATAACTTTTTGATTTTTCAAAGACTCTAAATGTATTGTTTTTACAATGTTTGATATATAGTTGGCATTTATTATGAGTTTAAAACTTTAAGTGAGACAATGACCCAATCATCAGGCAGGAGTTGCTCTGTCTTTCAGGTGCAGGCACACAAATAAACGGATTGTCTTTCCTTAGAGTTGATAGCTAGACACATTATATTCTCTAATAACACATCCCTTTACATACACATAAACACACACATACACATTACACCCACGTACATATTCCCATTTTCGCTGCTGCTTCTTCCCATCTATCCAATTTCATTTTCTGAAGTAATCTGGATTTTTATGATATATTGCTATCTGATCTACCTCTATGTAACAAAATAAATTATACTGACTTTATGGTTCTACCAAGGTGGAGGATGTGATCACCAAATCAGTGGCTCTCGATTCTTACTGTATATTACACAGGAATTGTTGGACAGGTTAAATATAACATACTGTATCTACTCAAAGGGACATTATACTGCTATTAAAATAATAAAGGGAAGCTATGCAGCAACATGGAGAAATGTATACAGTAAAGAGAAAAAGATACAAAAATATGGGCATTATGTTTATAATTAAGCAAAGAATACTTATCATCAAAGCCCAGAAGAGAATAAACAAAACAGACACTGGATAGCAAGTGAGGATTCCAGGTCTTTTTTTGTTACTAACCAACTATTAAATATAAACTTGTCATTCATTCCAAATTTACAACTGGATTCATACTCAGAGTACAGTTTAAAGTTCTTTGGAGATTAGATGGCACCACCTAGTGTTCCTATTTAGTAGTAGCAAAACAAACTGAAAGAGGTCTGGCTGCCTAACAGACTCAATTGTATAGTCTGAAAAAAATACAGATGCTTCCTGGGTGCTAACCCAGGCCCACATCAAAGCCCTGAGAGTTGGACCTGGACATTCATATATAAAAAGAGAAAACAATATCTGTGTGATACACAGTAAGAATCCAGAGCCACTGATATGGTGATCGCATCTTCCACCATGGTAGAGCCATAAAGTCAATATAATTTGTTTCACAGAAGTAGATCAGATAGCAATATATCATAAAAATCCAGATTACTTCAGAAAATGAAATTGGGTAGATGGGAAGAAGCAGCAGCGAAAACGGGAATATGTACGTGGGTGTAATATGTATATGCATGTTTATGTGAGTATGTAGAAGGATGTGTTATTAGAGAATATAATGTGTCTAGCTATCAACTATAAGGAAAGACAATGCCTTATTCGTGTGCCTGCTCATGAAACACAATTATTAAGCTACAAAGCTAACCCTGCTTGATGACTGGGTCACATCGCACTTTAAAACTTAAAGATTTACTATTAACCACATAATAAACACCAACTATATGTCAAGCATTGTAAAGATAGTGCATTTAGATTCTTTAAAAAACAACAACAAAAACAAAGTTATAAACCTTTAGAAATAAAACTTCAATGAGAGTTTTAAAAGATTTATATTAATCAATGGAGTTGCTTTTCATAAGTGTATTTTCCCTTTTAAGAGAAAAATGTTATTGTGAACGGTAAAATAAAAAATACATTAAAAGTTATATTAAGGGGCTTCTAATAAAAAAGGACTCTTGCCCTGGCTGGTCTGGCTCAGCTGACTGGGCTTTATCCTGTGCACCAAAAGGATGTGATTGACTTCTGGTCAGGGCACATGCTCAGGTTGCAGGCTGGATCCCCAGTCAAGGGCATGCAGGAGGCAGCCTATCAACCAATGTCTAGCTCTCACATCAATGTTTCTCTCTCTCTCCTTCTCCCTTCTTCTCTTTCTCTCTCTCTCTCTCTCTCTAAAAAAAAAGAAATCAATAAACAAACACACACACACACACACACAAAACTAACTATTCTAGGCTAAAATATCACCACCATACTATTAATGGTGGTCATACTGCTTAAATGTAATTCAAAACTTGATTTG